CAATATTTTAATAATTTGAAGATAATGTGCCTTACAGAAATAACGAATGACCATAACAATAAGTGGTAGCCTTTGAAAACTTAGTTTAATGATTTTCTTGAAATTGTTGTGGAAATATGTGGCAGAGTTAGGGATAGAATCCAGTTTTCATGGGTTCCAATTTAGTGTCTTAATGGCAAGATCATCCTGTAGAGCAAATGGGGTGAGATCATGAAATTAAAGACCTCAGCCTTCATCTGAGTTTCTCCCAGTATGTGGTAAAATGGGGCATTCAAAAGTAGTCTTATTTTGTGCAGAATATATTCAAGCATGCAAATTTGACCTAATTTTTTTGAGACAACATAGCTCAGTTCCCAGTTCTGCCAGAAGGGGACTGGTGAAACAGTCCTGGTCAGAAATTTTCAGATGGAACATTTTTCTGTTGGAAAATGTTGGTGTGACAAAATCAAAATGTTTTGTGGGAACATGGTAATTTTGACTTCTGACAGAACCAGGGAGGTTTCCAAAGAAAATCTGCTTAATTTCTTGCCTGCTCCCCATCTGCCTACCTGCCTTGCCAGCCCCTCTTGTAGCCCATCTGCTGGGAGCCCAGAGAGCATATTTCATTCCCTCAGTGAGAATGTTTTGGTGGTTCCAAAATGAAATATTATGGAATTTCACTTCCAATTTGGGATTAACATTTTCCCAAAACCTCTTTTTTTTTTGCAGAAGTGAAATTAAGTTTCCTAGCCAGCTCAGCTGTGAAACCTCTCAGATCCTCCATTAACTCACCTATCAATAGGAGGACTGATACTTTCCTGACTTTTGATGTCTTGCTCAATAATAGGGGCTATGTGAAGCTCACAGAATTAACCATGTCAGTGGAAGAGATGAGATTTGAAGTTCTGGGGTAAAATCCAGACTACATCAAAGTCAAAACTCCTCTTCATTTCTTTGTTGAGCCTGTGTTGGTCAAGAGGTATGGAACCTTCCCTGTATTAATTGGATCATAAGATTCTTTTCGAACCATGCATTCAGAAGAACTTCTGAATGTATCAGGTGAAACCCCCTTCATGAAAAACGCCTTAGAAATCTGAGGCTCTGCCTGGGCAGCTGTAACACAAGCATGGGTTCTGCTTGCTAGTTCTGCTTGCTTTCAAACTAGCATTTTGATACCAGCATGAGTGCACAATGTCCATTGCAGGGAGGAAATCGGTAGCATTTAATATGTGGGCAAAGGAGGGGTTTAATGTGATAGTAGATAAATTGAAAACTAAGCATGGAATGTTTTTTTCCTTGAGCAAAACCCTCCTACCCAAATCAGGACAATTCCATGAGGACTGGGCCTTTAAAAACCAACCAGAAGACATTCACACCAAGAAAGACAGTCTAGTGGATAGGGTACAAGTCTGCGATTCAGGACACCAGATTAAGTTCTCTGGTCTGCCACAGGTATCCTGTGTGACCTTGGGAAAGTTATACAGGCCTTATTTACATGGAATTTACTATGCACTCAGTTGTTGTGCATTGGCTGCTAGGCAGTACATAAACTGCAGTGATAGCATACACAGGGACAGTTTTTTCAATCCATATCATTGCATACACATGACAGGGGCTTTGTGCCAAATGAGTGTGCGGTATTCTGGGTGGATATCTAATGGTGCTTTGCTTCACTGCTGGTCTGTGTGCATTCTGGGATTAGACTCTCTGGGCCTCAGCTATAAAATGGGGACAATAGTCCTTCACTACTTCACAGGGCTGTTGTGAGGATAAACACATTAAAGGTTGCAAGTACTCAGATACTACTATAATGGGAGGGCCCTATAGGTACCTTAGATAGACAGATGGATGATAGATAGATATTCCCTATCTCTAGGTCCTATTTAAAATATTCTTTTGTCAAAACACACATAAAAACCACTCATGCTGGGACAGGCTCAACAGCACTCTAACCTATCAAGAGAACATAGTGGGATGCAAGCCCACCAGAAATAATCTTCTATCATATGAGATCTAGAAGGAAATGTATATTTTTTCTCTAGATTTTTTTCATGTCCAGATGTGTCATACTTTTTTGCCGATTTTGATAAAGGCTGAAGGGAATGATCAGGAGAAATAATATGTTAATGAGCACAAGAATTTTAAGCTCAATGTCTGATGTACTTTAAAAATGTTGATAGTATGTTGGAGAAATCCCTTTGTGTTCTCTCTGTTTTCCTTTAGTTCACACGCAGCCCAGAAACTGAAACAAATGAATAGCAATTATTTTTGTGGGATTTATGAAAACCCAATATTTTGCACTCTCTCTGCTGGCTCAATAATAGCAGTGAAGTAACACATTGTCCCAACAACTGTGATGGTAATTATCATAGAATCATAGAAATGTAGGGCTGGAATGGACTTCGATAAGTGATAATGTCCAGACCACTACATTGTGGCAAGATCAAGTAAACCTAGACCATCCCTCACAGGTGTTTGTCCAACCTGTTCTTAAAAAGCTCTCGTGATGGGGATTCCACAACCTCCCTTGGAAGCCTATTCCAGAGCTTAACTACCCTTATAGTCGGAAGTTTTTCCTAATATCTAACCTAAATCTCCCTTGTTGCAGATTAAGCCCATTACTTCGTGTCCTGCGTTCAGGGGATATGGAAAATAATTGATCATCGTCCTTTTTATAACAGACCTTAACATATTTGAAGATTATTATCAAGTCCCTCCTCAGTCTTCTTTTCTCAAGACTAAACATGTCGTTTTTTTTAAACTGTTCCTCATAGGTCAGCTTTTCTATACCGTTTATCATTTTTGTTGCACTTCTCTGGACTCCCTCCAATTTGTCCCCATCTTTCCTTAAGTGTGGAGCTCAGAATTGGACACAGTACTCCAGCTGAGGCCTCACCAGTGCCGAGTAGAGCATGAAAATTACCACCCTTGTTTTACATATGACACTCCTGTTAATACCCCTCAGAATGATATTAGCCTTTTTTTCAGCTGCATCGCATTGTTGACTCATGTTCACTTTGTGATCCCCTATAACCTCTAGATCCTTTTCAGTAGTATCACTACCTAGCCAATTATTCCCGGTTTTGTATGTTGTGCATTTGATTTTTTCTTCCTAAGTGAAGTACTTTGTACTTTTCTTTATTTAATTTCATTTTGTTGAATTCTGACCAATTCTCCAATTTGTCAAGTTCATTTAAAATTCTAATCCTGTCCTCCAAAATGCTAGCAGACCTCCCAGCGTGTTGTCATTTGCAATCTTATAAGCATACTCCCACTCCACTAACTAAGTCATTAATGAAAATATTGAATAGTACTGGACCCAGAACTGACCGCCGCCAGGCCCCAGTAGAGACGTCCTCCCAGTTTGATAACAAACCATTGATAACTACTCTTGAATATGCTCTTTCAACCAGTTGTACACCCACCTTGTATTAATTTCATCTAGACACGTTTCCCTGGTTTGCATATGATAATGTCATGTAAGACTGTATCAAAAGCTTACTAAAATCAAGATATAAGAATGATACTGGTGCAGAAATGGATGCATTTTGATGGAAACAGTTGAAATCGTTTCAAAACACATGATGGGGAAAACATGCTTGCCAAGTGGAAAATGATAAAGTCAGGAAAACGTATCTCCCACCATCTGGAAGAGTAAAATCAATTTAAAACACCTTGATTGACAAAATTCCTATCATATTACTCGAATTGGTGCAGAAGTATCACGGTATGTGTATGGCCTCAAGTATTAAAATGGATGCATATATTTTAGAAAAGTACTCAATTACTTTGGGCCAATTTGTAGAAGCTGATAACCTCTTGCTTTCATTCCGATAGATAGACGATGATGTTGATAGACGCTGAGCACTCACAACTCTTATTTTGTTCATTGCAAGTTGTGGATGCTCAGCACCTTTCAGAATTTGGCCTAAAATGGATAAGATTAATTCAACCTTGAACAATAATAATAATTAATTTTTCCCATAGAGTCCAAAACATGCTAGGAACTGTGCAAACATCAAAGAAGGCATGGACTCACTGCTTCAAAGAGCTTATATTCAGAGGCCCTGCTCCTGCCAGCACTTATGCATGTGATTAACTTTATTCATCTAAATAGACTCATTGACTAAGGTCTGATCCTGCAAGCTGTTCTGTGAGAATGGACCTCTTGTCCCTGTGCTAAGCCCCCTGATTTCAATGGGATTGTGTGTGGGCACAGAGGTCTGCCCACAAGGAACAGCTTGCATGACTGGGCCCTAAAAATATAAGACAGCCATGAAAGAATGGTACGGCAAAGAGGTAAAACGCACAAGTAAAGTGATTAGAGCAGGGATTGATCCCATCTTGAGAATACAGTGTTTGATAACATAGGATTTCTTTGTTTGCTGGTTGTTCTAAACTATGTAAACCGTTCACAGTTACCCCTCAATCTTGTCATTATCAGAGGTCTAGATTCTTGTTGATGTCACAGTACAAATGAGTCTTTTTTGAATGTAGAGAGGTTAGTAGCCTTGCGGCCCATCTCGGGAAGAAGAGAGATGATTGTGAGAGAAGTGGACAGATTTGCAAGTGCTAATTTTTTATGGGGATATTATGGGTGGGGGGCAGAAGAGTGAGTAGGTTTTGTGCCTAGGCTAGTGTGATTTTGACAGTATTACAGGGCTGTGGCCTTAAAGACATGCTTAACTTTCAAGAATTAATGGTCCTAATTAGTTTATGGGACCATGTAAGTGTTTGCAAGATCATGACCTAGACCCCCCTAAAGTTGATAAGATATTGGTACAGATAATAAATGTATGTGTGTGAGAGTCAATCTTGTATTACTTTCCATAATGTTAACATATTTTCATAGGGTAGCAAGTAAACCTTGAGATTTGCCCCTGCAACTGAATGAAGAAATGGCTGCCCGGTTGTAGAAAACTCCATTCCAGGATTTCAGGAAAGCTTTCTGAGTGACACATTGACATCATTGGAGGCGTGACTAAGGATGGAGGCGGGGGCTCAGCGCTGAAATGCTGCTGTGCAGAGCTGGAATTACTCTGTAACAGCAACAGTAAAGCCATAGCAGATTGCAAAGTGATAGCAGCAGACAACAGTGAGCAACTGGTGTCTATACTGGTTGGGTTGAAATTAGCTCCAGTTACTTCAAATGTGCTTTGGGAAGCAGTTTTTAATCTTTGTATTAGGTAAGCATAAGCAGAGTTCTTTACTCTCCTTTTTTGAAGACGTTTAAGAACCGATCAGGTGCTTAATGTTTGTTCTTGTACTGAAGGGGTCTCTTTAATCTCTTGTTTTAAGGTCTAAGCTTAATGGTTGCTTTGCCAGATGCAAATAACATTTGTATTATGAACTGAAATGCTGTTTTACTGCTAATACTTTCATAGAGAGCATAGTGATGGACTTTTATTTGCCTCTTTGCAGTTTAACTCTGCAACAAGTTAACTTCATGAAATGCTTATATACGTACTATGCTGAATTATAGGCAGAAGAGCATTCTCTTGAATTCTCTAGTAAAATAGGTAAAGCCAGTTACAATTTGCTGGCAATTGTACAACTTCCAGTTAAGTAATTGTGCCATCCTTGAATTGTCGGTCTTGTTTAATGCAGAGATTTCTTTCTTGCGTGCTGGAACGTTGTTTGCTCCACTTGAAATGCCAAGGAGTTTTAAAAGCACTTCATGCAAGAAGTTTGTGTCTAGAGTTGCATTATATTTTAGTTTTCTGACTGAGATGCTGACTGTGTTCCAAGCCTGTCAATCAGTCTGCAACAGCAACAGCAAGCACATGGCAGTTTGCAGAGAGCTCTGAGACAGAGCCATTGCTTTCTGCCTCTCCCTTGCTTGGAAGTAGTTCCAGTTATTGTAGATGTGGCTTGAAAATAAGTGTCTCTTCATTATTACCTTTTCTTTTCTTTTTTTGTTCTAGGCATTCGCATTGCACTTTGGCTGCACGGAGGTCGGAGAGCTTGCAGCAGGACCATGTGGTGAAGCAAAGCTGGATTCCGGGACGTTGTGCACCACGCAAGTTCAGTGTGGAGGGCTCGTGTGACTATCCCAGTCAGAGAAGGGAAATAAAAGTCGAAGTCGGTGAAAGAAAGGAGGAATCCTGTATTCCTTGCTGTTCTGTATCTTGTTGGAGATCTTCACGTTGCTGCTACTGCAAGTAACTCTGTAGCTGCTTCTGCTCCTCGGCGTCTGCAGGCAGCGATTGTGCCTGCATCTTGCGATTTTTATCCTCCACTAGCTTGAGATGAAGTATTTGCAGCAGGGGCTTGATTGTCGTCACCTATAACAGGAGAGAGAGAGAGACAGACTTGCAGCCGGAGAAATTGCTTCCTTCGGAATCCCACCACCGAGTGATTTACTTCTCTCAAGAGAATTGTGCCCACTCAATGAACAAGTGAGTTAGGGTAACGCAACCGTTGAATGTTTGTTTCTTTGAGCGGGGGGAGGGGGGTAGAAGTGGATTTCCCTCCGCTCGGTGAATAGGACTTGGTGATCTCTGTGTGCTTTGCAGAGAGGAGAAAATACGGAAGAATTATCCTCTCCAACCAAAAGAGGGCTGGAAAAAAAGAGTGGGGGGCCACAGTCTCCTCTGAGAGGGAAACGAAACCCACCCTTCTCCAACATTTAATGCTTAACAGTTGCGCTGCCCTATGGATCTCCAGTGTGGTGGTTTTAAATGGATTTGCCATTAGTGACTTCTTGGAAATAAGTAAGTCCTTAATTACGTTCACGTTCTTACTCAGCTGGGTTAAAACGATGGGTTCTGCCTGCAGCCGCCTTCTTTTGCACGTGTCGAGTTGGAGGAGTTAGCAGGTGCCGTTGCATTTCCCCCCTTAATCTTGTGGGCCAGGGGAAGGGGAGATCAGGCTGCTCCCAGCCATGTGCTGGTGCTGAGGTCCAACTTAGGCTCATGTGGGCCTGTTTTCTTTTGTTTTTAAACTGACGTTCAGGGTTATGTTTTAATCCTGGGGCTCTGAACTTGCTCTGGCCAGGGAGCAGGCTTGAGTGTGCAGAGGGGCGGGACGGCTAGAATCAATGGCTTAGAGATCATTGCAAACCTGGGCTGTGCATTGCTAATGGCTGGGACCGGGTGGGTGGGTGTGAAAACCTTGTGCCCCAGTTAGCCCGTAATGATCGCGGGAGAAGAGTGGTGGGAAGCCGTGGTGTAGGTCCTTCACCGGAGGTTGGTTTTGATCTGTGGTTAAAAGGACACTCTGCCAAGGGACTAGTAGGCTAAACGCGGGGTGTGTGGAGCGGAGAAGGGGTCCTTTCAGTGTCACAGCCTGACAGCCCTGTGAAGGGGGGGGATGTTTAAAGTGAGACCTTAAGCGCTTCATTGAAACACCTAGCAAAATGCTCCATCCGAGCAGAGCTTTCTGAAAACTGCACTCATGAATCCAAAAGGAGAGAGCTGTCCTCCAATTCTGGGTCAGGTTTGGCAGGGCAGTGGAGGTCGGGAGGTTAAAATGATGGGATAAGAGGAGAGAAACGTTCCCCTCCCCCTCCTTTCCCCCTCCCTCAGAAAGCCCACAGGGAGAAAAAACCCCCCTGTGCACATAGTAGCACACCCAGACCTTTCAGTGCTGTGCTTGAAAGGCACAGGCAGAGGGAGGGGGAGCGCGAGGGAGGGAGGACGCTGCAGCTTTAAGTATTGGAAAGTCCGCCCTCCTGAGGTAATGGTAACCTCAGTCTCTTCCCCTCCTCCTGCAAAAGGGGGGAAAAAGCCCTTGTTTTCATTCATAACTTTTTCCTCTTCCTTCCTCTCCGTCAACTATTTATTCATCGCTTCACTCAGCTCAGATTGCAGAGGGCGCAGCTCCACCACCGTAGCTTTAAGTGTGGCGATACTTTGCTTCCTTCCCCCCACACCTTTCTGTGTATCAAACAAGAGCAAGTTAAAACGCAGCATGCAGATGGTTGTAGAATTTATTCAGACGGGGATGCTGTCTTTTTGAAGCTGATCCGGGAGGAAAAAAGGGGGGCAGTCGGGGAGAACTGGAGAACTGGTTTGGAGGAAATGCTGACATACTGTACATTGTGCTAAAATCTGCAGTGGTTCTGAGCTTGGGCACAAAAAAATGGGATCTTACACTTTTGTTTGCTTTACCTTTTGGAAAAAGTAATTTTTAGATCTTATTTGCAGTTGGGGGTATTTGGTTCTTTCCATCAGAAACTATTATGTGGTGTGCAGCTGCCTTTTTTTGTCTTTCTTTTTTGTAATTTGTATTGTCGGTCTGAGTGTTTTATTAATATTGCATTTTTTTCAGAGATGGCACTTGTCCTACTCTTTTAAAAATAGTGTAATCATTCTTCCCCTGAAAGTCCCACTTTTGATCTCTGCAGCTGTATGTCTTTCCCTTTCTGTGTTCATTCATCCCTAGCACTTTGTGTGCTCATATTAAGATTTATGAAAAGAAGAGCCTTGTTATGTGGGATGAATAAAGACTGACTGAATAGGGGTGGGGTTTTGTAATCTTAAAACCCTAGGTCCTACACAGGTGATATTTAAGCATAAAAGGAGACCTTTGGCCTCTGGTTTGTTTAATGCCTTCTATGCCCCAGTGTAAATTTGAGATAAGTAGTTAGTAGTTTTTTTGTTTTCTTTTTCAAATTCTACAACTGCCTATTGAAGCAGTGTCTCTTAACAGGATTTCGGTGTACTTTTGCTCTTCTCCTCCCCTGTGTATTCATCCTCTCTCTCCTTTTTCTTTCTTGAATTGGGAATATCTCCATGTCAAATATGCTCTGGATATGCAAGACAAACTTACTTTTTCCAGGGTTATTGGATAAGTTGATTTGGCATGTATTCCAGACTGAAAAAGGAAAAACATGATTCTATGCAATTTTACTTTTTTGTGGGGCTGGGGGGAGTAAATCTTCCGTTAGCTGTTGGTGCAGGAAAGTAAATGTTTGTTTTCCCACGATGCTTTGTGATCACTACAATGATGTATAAACAATCTGCCCTCCTTGCCTCCTCCCCCCCATTACATTTTATATAGGTACAGCCCCTTTGCAGAATTGTCCAAATCAACATTGCAATAGTCTGTGTCAGTAACTTGAGACAAAAAGATGTAAAAATGAATAAATAGCTCCAGTTACATTTGTTTTATTTTTATCTATCTTCCAAAATTAGTCTGAAGAGCTTTAATTAAAATTTTTTTCCCTAGAGTAGCTTGTGAAAACTGAGATGTATTTTTTAATTTATTTTTTCATGAGAAAAGGTACATGAGAAGACATAAATGTGTTCCAGTTTTATTTTACTACCTCATCTCCCCACACACCCAGCCCTGTAGTCTCAAAACACTTGAGAGCTGTTGTATAACATGTTGTTATTTACATCTGGTGTCTTACTTTAATAACGAGTTTGTTACATTATTTGGAACCTGTGAGCTTTCTACTGGGAAATATCCTTCAGTTTCCGACATTTTTGTCGGATTTACTTAGGGATTTCTTAATGGATGCATGTTTCGTTTTAAAGATGGATCATAAGCTTAAGGCAAGGGCAGGTACTGGAGTACATTTATGATACAGCATTCACAGACTGACAGAAAAGCAAGAGTTTGTGCAAATTTCATTATGCAGAATATAAATCTGATACTGTTCATTCAGGTATCTAACTTGATTTGGAGTACTCAGTATTACTGTTGCTGATCTGTTCAGTAACGAGAGAGGCATTTATTTCCCATACCTTGCCAACTAAACATACAGGTTAATACTTCCTTTATTTGTTTTTAATGGAAAAAGCTCTGATTTTAAATGGCACAGGGGTCTCCTCTTACATTCCACATCTGTCATGCCAGACCCAGACTCCTCACCCTCTCTCCCTCCTTCCTTCCCCTTCCCCAATTGGCCTTTGGCCAGGTCTTCAGCATCGTTGTAATCCACTGCTGAAGGAGATCATTACCAAGTGGTTAGGGCAATTTGTGGCTTGCCATGACATTTTTATTTTTAAAAGCTTCCTGTGACTTACTCCTTTTTCACCTTTGATTTCTCTTTTTTTAAACTTTTTTTTCTCAGGATTTCAGATGCATGCCAGGTTCCCACTGAATGCCAGAAGTAGAGATCACTACAGATGGAGCCCCAAAGTCAACATGGCAGTGGCGGTTCATTAGTTGTAATCCAGCAGCCTTCCTTGGACAGCAGGCAAAGGTTGGACTATGAAAGAGAAATTCAGCCGACAGCTATCTTGTCATTGGACCAGATCAAGGCCATAAGGGGCAGCAATGAGTATACCGAAGGCCCATCTGTGGTGAAAAAGTCTGGTCCCCGGACAGCACCAAGACAAGAAAAGCATGAAAGGACTCATGAAATTGTACCAATTAATGTGAATAATAATTATGAGCACAGACCCAGCCACTTGGGACCCGTGGCACACCAACATAACGCCAGGGCTCCTGTGTTGAGCAGATCGACTAGCACTGGAAGTGCGGCTAGTTCTGGAAGCAACAGCAGTGCTTCTTCAGAGCAGGGGTTGTTGGGCAGATCGCCCCTATCTAGGCCAGGTTCAAGCCACAGATCTGAAAGGACAATCCGGACGCAGCCCAAGCAGTCATCTTTGATGGTAGATGATCTGAAGGGTCCCTTGAAAGAGGACTTGACGCAGCACAAGTTTATCTGTGAACAATGTGGGAAGTGCAAGTGTGGTGAGTGCACAGACCCGAGGGCCTTACCTTCTTGTTTGGCCTGCAACAGGAAGTGCTTGTGCTCTGCAGAGAGCATGGTGGAGTACAGCACCTGCATGTGCCTGATCAAAGGGATCTTCTACCACTGTTCCAATGATGATGAAGGGGACTCGTATGCGGATAATCCCTGCTCTTGTTCCCAGGCACATTGCTGTTCTAGGTACCTGTGCATGGGAGCAATGTCCTTGTTTTTGCCTTGCTTGCTCTGCTATCCTCCTGCTAAGGGATGCCTGAAGCTGTGTCGAGGGTGTTATGACCGGATCAATCGTCCTGGTTGCCGATGTAAGAACTCCAACACTGTCTATTGTAAACTGGAGAGCTGCCCGTCTCGGAGTCAGGGGAAGCCCTCATAATTTTGGAGGGAGATTTCACTTCTTCAAACACTTGCTTTCAGGTTGTGGCTAGTTTTCTGTTGGTGTGGGGATTTACCCCCACCCTCCTTCCCTTCCTTCTCCACTTTATGTACCCAAGTTCTTTCCTTTGCACCCTTCGTATCCCCTCTCTCAACTCAGACAGGTGTGGAGTATTTTACTCAGTCATGTTTATTTCAGTCTTTGGTAAGCATGGACCGTGTGCCTGCGTTTGGCTCCTCAGCTTGACAGGGCCTCTTAGGTTTGTAAGTAATCAATACATGAAAGAGGCAGTGAGGGCTAATGGGCTTCTCTGCAGCCTTTGCTCTGCAAACAACTTCCCCAATGTGTCCTTTTGTTCTCTGCAACTGTGTGTCTTTTTGGTTCCAAGAAATAATTCTACCTTATTTAATGAGCAAGCTGGATTAATCTTGAGGGGTTTGGAACCGTAGAAAATATAAGGCTGTCTTTTACTTAATACTGCTTTTCCCTCTGTTTCCCAACCCTCTTTGGAATTGTCTCAGTCCAGAGACTGGCCTGGCTGGTACATTTTTTTTTTTTTCTTTTAAATGTAGTTTTGGTTTTTACTTCACTATATAGATCTTCACATTGGAGACATTATGACTGCAATTTGTTCATCTGTTTCTCTTGCTTTCAAATCTGTGAAGGACATCACCCACTCCACCTCTTTCCCCATGTTTCTGTGGTCATTGAGATCCTTTTGATACTGATGTTAAAGTTGGTGTTTGCATATCTGAATAATTTTCAGGTGTCATTGAATTAAGTTACCTAAATTTTCCTGGATCTTTAACACTTCACTTATTCTCTTGGTTAGTGAATTTAGCTCTGCCTTGTGCTTCATAACTTCAATGTGTTCCATGTTTTATTGCCTTAGCCACAAATTGTGGTCTTTTTTTTTTGTATATTTTATGTATAAAACACAAAGTTGAATTCTGACTATTTTTAAGACAAAAAGTCTGTTTAAAACTTTTTTTATTGTAAAGAATATTTATTATGTGAATCTCTATTATTTTATGATATTTATTGCAAAGGACTGTTTGAAAAATGTACTCATGTCTGAATATAACAAAATATCAATACTTAACAAAAATAAGGGTGACACAAAGAAAGTACATATGTTAACTATAATGCAGAAAATATATTAATTAATGAAAATGTCTCTTGAGTTTTTCATTTTAATATACTGGTAGGTTGTGTTATGATTTCCATGTCCATATTGCTATAAGTGTCTTGCTATTTTTTTTTCTCCTTGTGCACTGTCGGGGTGGTTGAATAACCAATACTGTGAAGACACTAGTATGTGTTCATCTTGTTTGCCTAATTCTGGTGTGGAAAATTCATTATCAAATGAGTTTTCACAATGAGATATTTAATAAAATTGAATGTGTGTAATTTGCTTGATGTTGCCAAGACGTTTAGGCCACATGTATTTATCAGAGCATTCTGGAAATGCAACTATAGACAAGGACCCCTCACTTGAATAATTCTTTTTGTATTGTTTTCTATAGAATATCAAATTAACATGCAGAAAAAGCAAGAGTAGAGGGGTAAAAATAGTCTTGGTGAAGTCTGTTCGCTCAGGAAACCTAAGTTGTTGTTTTTCCCTGTTGTAATTTGACTTTCCCAACCACAACTGACCTCCCCGTTCCTTCTAATTTAAACTCTCTTGAAAGTAATATAGGTGTCACAGCTATTTGCTGAATTCATTCATATTTAAGTGGTCAGAAATAGGCTTTGCATTAGGATTATGGAGAGTCTCCCACTTCCATTGGTGCGATTCAAGTCCTCCCTAGTAGCAGAATCTAAGTAGCAGTATCAAGTATCAGAGGGGTAGCTGTGCTAGTCTGTATCCACAAAAACAACGAGGAGTCCGGTGGCGCCTTAAAAACTAACAGATTTATTTGGGCATAGGCTTTCGAGGATAAAAACCCCACTTTTTCAGATGCATGGAGTGAAAATTACAGATACAGGTGTAATTTTCACTCCATGCATCTGAAGAAGTGGGGTTTTTTACCCACAAAAGCTTATGTCTAAATAAATCTGTTAGTCTTTAAGGTGCCACCGGACTCCTCGTTGTTTAAGTAGCAGTGTATTGGCTTGGTATACTCTAAGTTGTGTTCATAATGTAGAAGGCCAGAGAAACGGCACATTTAAAAAACATAATTTCAGATTCAGGAGACTACATCAGACTTTGCAAATGAGTTCTCAAATTTTGTCGCTTTGGCTTCTAATTAAATTGTTTTATCAATATCCCCTCAGAATATAGAAAATTTGATTAGACTGGGCTCTTGTAATTAAGTGTATCAGCACTGACTTCCTCAGTGTCTTTTGTTGTTGGAGCCCTGGGTATAATAAGAAGTTTGTGTAAAAGCTATAAGTCATTAAAATGTTGTTAGGAGTTGCATCTCTTGTTGAAAGAAGTGTGCAGCTTTTATGACAATAAAGTATACGGAATTATAACTTCTGGTTGACCAACAAGAATATGCTTCTCTTATAGTATAAAAGTGATAGTCCACTCTTGAGTGCACCAGCATAACCCCAGCACCGTACTGAGAAGTGACAAGTTTACATGATCAGATTTCTTAACAGATATTTGTCTGATGGCAACATAGAGATATTTACCAATATTTTCTTTGTTTTTTGCATGTGGTAGAGCAAAGCTGATAGAACAATATTTTGGGAAGAACTTAATTTTTTTTATTCTTTTTCGTTGGTAATTTGGTCCAACAATGAGCTGCAAACAGTTTTTAAGACACTGAACTCCTTGTCAAACAACTGCCATTGGTCTGATACAACGGCTTGCCCAATAATATGCCAACATTCAAAGTCAAGACTGAGCAGCTTTAGTCTCATAATTTGTGACAATCTAATATATGTTGAACAGTTTTAGTCTCATATTTGTTATTTTTATGTAATCCTCTTTATTTCACTAATCTGTGTCTGAATCCTTTGTTTTTCATAGCTGTAGTTTCTTAGCTCTGGACTTCCAAAAAAACAAAATATACAGCCTGCTTGAAAACAAAGGATCCATGTACATTGTGTCTCAATTCATCATGCTTTTCAAGATACAGAACACAATCTGTGATAGCTATTTTGCCTTTTGGTTTCTTGAAGATTAACACTCTTCTTACTGACTAACTCTGGGAAAATTACAAGGAAAATTCTCCCTCAAAATATTCAGTTCTTCCATATAATTAAGTTTTCTAACTTCAGTATGTATAGTTGTGGTGCACTGTTAAATAGTTGCCACATTTCATGCCAGAGGTGGCTACCTTTAAGCAATTGGAGTGATACCTTTTTGTCTAGTTGGTATATTTTGCATCCTTAATGTATGTTTGATTTTTGTGATGCACTGTGGGATCCTTCAGAGTGCAAGGTTTTTCATACCTAACAAATCTGTGACACCTCACAGTCTGAGAACGTCTATGTTTTGGGCCAATTAGTTGCATATAGGGCTGGGGAAATGCGTTTTTAGTAGTAAAAAATGAGCAAGTAGACAAAAGCGTGTTAAATGCTGTACCTGAGAAGCTCCACAATTTGAATAACCTCTTGCTGTTAAGTCTTATTTTGAAGTGGTATACACCAATTGAGGTTATTTCCCCTTTGCTAATTAGTTTATATTTTTGTTTCAAAGTATACTGTCATATATTGTCATTGTACACAGTCTTCATTTAATCCATTTGCATAACTTGTTGAAAGGGAGCCCAGGTTTGATGATGCTAAATGCACCCAGGATCTTAATAAGATTAGAATAGGAATAGACCTCAGTCCAGTCTTGGATTCAGTAAGTTATTTGGGGCAGGAACTGCCACTTTCTATATGTTTGTGTAGCACCTAGCACAGTGGGGCCCACCCATTTTGCTTCTAGGTGTTGTTACAGCATAAATAAGTGGTACTGTTCCCTTAATTAGAAAACCCAAGTTTCTTCTGTGGTGATAATTTTACTTTGAAATATTATGCTTAGGCTTATTAGAGAGACAAAGCGGGTGAGGTAATATCAGAGATGTTAAGAGTAACAAGAAGGGTTTCTTCAGGTATGTTGGCAACAAGAAGAAAGCCAAGGAAAGTGTGGGCCCCTTACTGAATGAGGGAGGCAACCTAGTGACAGAGGATGTGGAAAAAGCTAATGTACTCAATGCTTTTTTTGCCTCTGTTTTCACTAACAAGGTCAGCTCCCAGACTGCTGCGCTGGGCATCACAAAATGGGGAAGAGATGGCCAGCCCTCTGTGGAGATAGAGGTGGTTAGGGACTATTTAGAAAAGCTGGACGTGCACAAGTCCATGGGGCCGGACAAGTTGCATCCGAGAGTGCTGAAGGAATTGGCGGCTGTGATTGCAGAGCCATTGGCCATTATCTTTGAAAACTCGTGGCGAACGGGGGAAGTCCCGGATGACTGGAAAAAGGCTAATGTAGTGCCAATCTTTAAAAAAGGGAAGAAGGAGGATCCTGGGAACTAAAGGCCAGTCAGCCTCACCTCAGTCCCTGGAAAAATCATGGAGCAGGTCCTCAAAGAATCAATCCTGAAGCACTTGCATGAGAGGAAAGTGATCAGGAACAGCCAGCATGGATTCACCAAGGGAAGGTCATGCCTGACTAATCTAATCGCCTTTTATGATGAGATTACTGGTTCTGTGGATGAAGGGAAAGCAGTGGATGTATTGTTTCTTGACTTTAGCAAAGCTTTTGACACGGTCTCCCACAGTATTCTTGTCAGCAAGTTAAGGAAGTATGGGCTGGATGAATGCACTATAAGGTGGGTAGAAAGCTGGCTAGATTGTCGGGCTCAACGGGTAGTGATCAATGGCTCCATGTCTAGTTGGCAGCCGGTATCAAGTGGAGTGCCCCAAGGGTCGGTCCTGGGGCCGGTTTTGTTCAATATCTTCATAAATGATCTGGAGGATGGTGTGGATTGCACTCTCAGCAAATTTGCGGATGATACTAAACTGGGAGGAGTGGTAGATACGCTGGAGGGGAGGGATAGGATACAGAAGGACCTAGACAAATTGGAGGATTGGGCCAAAAGAAATCTGATGAGGTTCAATAAGAATAAGTGCAGGGTCCTGCACTTAGGACGGAAGAACCCAATGCACAGCTACAGACTAGGGACCGAATGGCTAGGCAGCAGTTCTGCGGAAAAGGACCTAGGGGTGACAGTGGATGAGAAGCTGGATATGAGTCAGCAGTGTGCCCTTGTTGCCAAGAAGGCCAATGGCATTTTGGGATGTATAAGTAGGGGCATAGCGAGCAGATCGAGGGACGTGATCGTTCCCCTCTATTTGACATTGGTGAGGCCTCATCTGGAGTACTGTGTCCAGTTTTGGGCCCCACATTACAAGAAGGATGTGGATAAATTGGAGAGAGTCCAGCGAAGGGCAACAAAAATGATGAGGGGTCTGGAACACATGACTTAGGAGGAGAGGCTGAGGGAGCTGGGATTGTTTAGCCTGCAGAAGAGAAGAATGAGGGGGGATTTGATAGCTGCTTTCAACTACCTGAAAGGGGGTTCCAAAGAGGATGGCTCTAGACTGTTCTCAATGGTAGCAGATGACAGAACGAGGAGTAATGGTCTCAAGTTGCAGTGGGGGAGGTTTAGATTGGATATTAGGAAAAACTTTTTCACTAAGAGCGTGGTGAAACACTGGAATGCGTTACCTAGGGAGGTAGTAGAATCTCCTTCCTTAGAGGTTTTTAAGGTCAGGCTTGACAAAGCCCTGGCTGGGATGATTTAACTGGGAATTGGTCCTGCTTCAAGCAGGGGGTTGGACTAGATGACCTTCTGGGGTCCCTTCCAACCCTGATATTCTATGATTCTATGATCTTTTATTGGATCAACTTCTGTTGGGGAAAGGGACAAGAGAAAGAGAACTCTGTGGTGCTTGAAAGCTTGTCTCTCTCATCAGTAGAAATTGGTCCAGTAAAAGTATTACGTCACTCACCTTCCTTTTGTCTCTAATATCCTGGGACCCCACAGCTATGACAACACTGCACATGTAGTTAGGCTTGGCAGAATTCAATTTTTATTTTTTTAATAATTTTAGAGGGATAGTATCTATTTATAAGCATTTTTTCGATTTGTTTAAATTTTCACCGTTGTTGGAAAGTATGGGGAGGTCAGAAAACAATTTTTTCATGACAGTAGATGTTGGGATTCAGAAAGTTAGTTTTTTAACTGTTAAAACACAAATTTTCACCATCACACCAAAATATGCAAAGTAAATACCCTTAAATCAACTCTAATAAATTTTCAAGGAGCATTTTTCTTATTTTGTCTATCTGTAAATTTCAATTACCAATAGAAATATTTTTTTCATCAGCTTGTGTGTGTATGGCAAAATCCATGTTTACCAAG